AAACCTAATTAACAGAGAGTAGTTTAATTTCCAGGCTTTTTAAAATTAATTTAACATTTTATTGCATTATATTCTATGCAATATCTGTTCCAAAGAATCTGTTGAGAGAGACACTCTTTGTTAGCACATTCATGGTCCAGGTGTGTAAACGTTTCATGAATATTTGAAATAATCGTGTGTAGATTTCTATTGAGTACAGATTTCACATAAAAGTATTTGATCAATTTTGCTAATTGTGTTCTTTGAATTTTTCATGTCATTATTAGTTCTGCTTGATATATCAGTTTATGAAATGTGTGTTAAATTCTCACTATTTGTGGACTCATTAGTTTCTATTTGTGGTGCTTTTAGTTTTGCTTCATCTATTTAGGGAATGTGTTGTTAGGTGTGTTAAAATTTATGATCATGGCATCTTTTCCATGGATGTTTCCTATTATTATTATTACTCTGAAATAACCCTTCTTTAACTGTTGTTACTGTTTACTTTAAATGTTCGTTTGTCTGATGCTTTTGTTTGGGTAGTATATTAGTTATTATTCAGCTTGATATGACAAAAATGAACAAATAAACAATCAATTGAATGCTAGTAACTTAACCATGTGGAAGAGTATCTATCTCTTCCATAAGTAAAAATTACACGGATGAGCATTAGTGGCATAAATATGTCCAACACAGCAGTGAGATTCTATCATTAACAAAGCGTGAGATACTAGATACTGGGAGGCAAGCGGCAGTCACTGTGATCATTAGTATTTGGTACATTTTTATCCACTTATTTTCAATCGCTGTGGCTTTCTGCTTTAGGTATACCTCTTGTAGGTAGAATATAGTTATGTTTTGTTTTCTTATTTAAACTGAAATTCTCTGTCTTTTGATAGGAAATTATTTAAATTCGTTGGAATTTGTGATAACATTGGACTTGTTTTGCCATCTTAGAATTCTGCTAGTTGTCACTCTTTCTCGTTTTTTCTGTTCTCTTTTCTTACTTTGAGATTGGATTGATGGGATTCTTTTTATCTCTTTCTCCTTCTACTCTCAATATCTGTAGTATTTCTACATCACAAACACCTCAGAAATTATTGGATTAAAACAGCAGTTTATTATTTGGGGGGGGGGGTTGTGGATTGACTGGGTTTGGCCAGGCAGTTCTTAATTGTGGGCTTTCATTTAGATGCCTTCAGATGATGACTGGGACCAGAGTCATCTGAAGGCTTAAATGGGCTGGAGGTCTAAGCCAGTTCAACCCAATGGCTGGCAACTGATGAAGATTGTCAGCGAGGAGCCCAGCAGGACCTACACATGGAGATGCCTACCATGACCTCTGTCCGTGGCTTGGATTCTCGCAGTATGGTGACTTAGTTCCAAGAGCGAACGTTCCAAAAGACAGGGAGTGCATAATGCCAGTATCATAAAGCTGGGCTTAGAAACAGCATTATGCCATATTCAACTGATCAAAGCAGTTATGGAACCTGCCCAGATTCAATGAGAGGGAAAATAGACTCCCTTCTCGTTAAGAGAAGCGTCAAAGAGATTGTGACCATTTGTAATCCACTATACTATGTATAATTTTCAGAATTATACCTTCTTTTCCTATTTACTCAAGTTACCTAAACTTGTTACAATACAAATATTTTTCTTTTTTAAAAATGTGAAATATAATATAGTTCCATGCTGCTACATTTTGGAGGAAAATCCAACCAAGTTTAATTATTTTGTATCCAGTTATGCTTGATCTTCCCATATATTTTTAAATATTCCACTAATTTAAGATAGATTCTACAACTGTTCTAATATTGGAAGCCTGTCTCTGTTGGAGAATTATGTGTCAAATAACATTTGAAAAAACGTTAACAGAAACTATTAGATATTACAGAAGATAATGAATATATTATAACTGTAGCAGAAGATTCAAAGATTTTAACAGATAAAAGAGACAAAAATTAGAAAACCAATGTCTTGAATATACGTTAAAAATGCTTAATACTATATTCATATATATATGCATATTTTGTAACTTAAAGCAAAAAGCACATTCTTTCCTAATGAAATTTATTTAAAGAAAATAAAGTAAAGAAAATAAAATGGAATTATACAATATACTTTTATAAATCAGATTATCATAACCTTAGAATATAATTTAAAAATGGAAATCAAACTACTTGTATTCTTGAAATATTTATATAATGTAAATATCTGATCAAATAGAAAAGTCACATTTACTGACAATTTTGAAAATAAAATTTACTTTTTGCAAACAAAAAAATAAAATTTTGAAAATAGACATAAAAACTCATGTGATTTGGTTGACATAATCAGGAAATTTTAGATGTTTGAATGGTTTTATACTACAAGGAGTATTAAAAATAAATTCAGTAAGAAATAAATTCAAATAATTAGAAAAGGAGAAATAAAGTAAATCTGAGGAGCAGAAATAGGAATAATAAAAAATAAATGAAATTTAATATTAAATGGGTGAAAAGAAATTACTCATAAATTCAGTATTAATAGTAATAACTTCTTGAAAATGCAAAAAATTAACAAAAGTGTGTTAAAATACTTGAATTAAGAAAAGAAACAAATAGACAATCTTAGAAGTAACCAGGTAAAGTCCAAGAAAAGAGCTTAAAAAGAGGAAACATTTTTTTCTACATTCTGAAAAAATCAACTTGAAAAGTGGAAAATGGTCAGTTTCTACAGATATAAAATACAAAATGACATTAAAATATATTAAACATAAGTTAAAGTACTTAATAGCTAAGTAAAATATTATGAAATTTAACAGATGATTAACTCTTCCCAAAAGTTGCTGGATATAAGTAGTTTCATGCAAGATTTCCTCAAGTAACAGTCCTTTAATATAACAATTTATACAAAATATTGAAATGTCACAAGTTTTTGAATAAAAAGAAATAATCTTGATATGACTACTCTGACAAAGATAATAACTAATAAATCCCACTTTACAAAAACAAGTAAAATATTTTTAAACAAATTCAAATGGTATATTATTAGTTAGATGATGACCAAGTAGGCTTTATACCAGGAATGTTAAAGAATGTTCATTATTTCTTTTAATAAATCAGAAGAGGAAAAAAAGATATGATCATCTCAAAAAACATCAATGTTGTTTTGGATAATCTGTATTTTTTAAAATAATTTTTGTAAGAAAAATGTGGAAACTTTCTGAACATGATCAAAATTATGTATCTCAAAGTAACTGCTAATCTTATGTGTATCTGTGACACACTACAGAATTCTCTAAAGAAAAAGGAATAAAATAAGAATATCTATCAATGTAGTGTATATTTTTATTTAACATTAGACAAGCAAGCACATAAAAGAGATATACATATTAGAATGGAAGGAGTAAAATTATCTTTACACACAGATATGTTTTATTACCCAGAAAAGAACAGAAAATCAATTAAAGAAAGTAAAAAAGTAAGAAAAAATATTGTAACAGTTTAATACTATAACTGGTATTTTTAAAATTAATCAATTTTTAAAAATCTTTGTGATTACGCAATAACCAGCTAGCAAATATCATAAGAAAGCAACCATTTATAAAGGAACCAATAGACATGTTCTTCTATTTTTTTTTGATACTATTGTGATAGCGACCACCAGTTTTTTGTTTTTATTCTGATTTATTTCTGCTTCAGATTATAAAACCAGCTTCTTTCCTGGGGATGTGCTCCCCTGGGGATGTATTCTCTGCACCAAAGGAGTCAGTCTGCTGCTCCAGCTTCTGGAAGTGCTTGAATTCATGGAGTGTAAATATAAATTTGTAAGCTGGGTCTGGGAAATCTCTGTAATAGGTAGGCTTCAAGTTTGGTAGGACTAAGCTTGCTCCTCCAGTCCTAGTATACATAGGTCACTCGATTATTCATTCACTTATTGATTGATCGAATACTTATTGAACTGCTTTGTGTGCAGGCTTTCTTTTAGGTCTCCAGGCTACAATAATGAACAAGACTAGCAAGTTTGCTGGTCACATGGATCATACATTCTACTGTAGAAACAGAGAGTAATAGACAGCATTTCATTATATTCAAAAGTTACCAACGTTACCCCCCAGGCTTGTGTATCCTTTATGTCTCTACTTGAACTTGATTTTAAATAAACTTTGACATATTGGATTAAGTCCAATCTTCTTTCCACCATCAAATCGATCCTGTAAAAGTCACGTGTCTTAAATTCATGTGTCTGTTGTTCATATACTTTTCTAGTCTTTTCTTAACGTCCATTCTGTTTTTTCACTCACCAGAGACCCAAGTGCATGATCAAATAAAACATACGTTTAAAAAAATCAGCCCACAAACTAAAATTTCAAATTCACTGACAATTGCAAGCTAAAAGGTTAGAAGTTTATGCATTAAAGTTTAAATCATTTGGGTACATATTTAAAGATTACAATGGGAAATATCAATCAATGAATTTCCAAGGCAATTTGCAGTTTTCTGATAATGTACAAATAAATAAATATATATATATCATGAACCATTGAATGAAAAGGTAAAAAAGTGGAATGAGTGAGTGAAATACAAGTTGTTTCTTGATTCTGAAAAATTTCTAACAAATATTTGTAAATCGATTCTTAAAATTGGAAAACTGATATGCATAAAAAGTATGACATTTATTAAGTATATGTCTACGATGTATATTGTTGACATTTTTATTAAAATTTTCCAAAGTGAAAACTGAAATACTATTTATATCATTTTTTGCTGGCAAAAGCTCTTATAATTAGATAACCCATTAATAATTTTATAATTAGATAACCCATATTTGTATGAATATGCTAAATATATATACATGTAACTCACATTTAATAAGCATAGAAAAGAACCTATGCCTGATAAACATTTTAAAATATTCACTATCACACATTACAGAAGAACACCAAAGAGAGGTGAAGTACCATACACACATTCCTGAACTTTTTCCTTCTAGATTATATATGATGCTCTAAAGAGTGATCTACGAATCTTCCCCAGCTGTCAACCACACCTCAGCTGCCACAGCACAGAAAGTGAAGCCTTTCTTAGTTTACCGTTTCCCAGAATCAGGATAACTGAGTGGACTGAAGGATAAACATGTGCAAAAGCCTGACCTAGCATAATGGCTAGTTTGTTCTGCATGATCTCAGCATGGAAAATTGTTATAAGAAGAGACAGGAAATGAATAGCATATAGTAAGAGGAAAGATATCACATTTTTCATGGCTCTTATATGGGCCTTGACGCTGGAGTCTTTGAATCCCATTGCATTGTGCTTCACATTCTTGAGATGTTTCCATAGGGAGAAGATTAATAGGAGAAAAAAATTCAGGGATATAGAAAAGGGTATGAAGGATCCCACAATGAATGTAATCAAGTTTGAACAGTTTTCAATGTCACTCCTTTTAGAACTTAACGTCATATTTCTTTCATATGGATGTATGTGGATAATAACATGTACCATTACCATAGCAAGATTTAAAGGCAAGAATACTAATGTTCCCAGAAACAATACCAGAATTACCATTTCAACTCTATGTTTTAGGTAAAGAAAAACAGGATTTGAAAAATTGGCTATCTTAAGAAAATAAAAGAGGCTGAGGCCTGTGGCAAGCCAAATGCTAACATGATGGACCACGGTCCAGGCAATACTAATAAGTATAGTTTTCTTTCTATTCACATATAAAGATGGATAAAACTCCCTTATAAACCACATCACCATTGTTATGAAAATCAGACAAATTCTGGAGATTGCCAAAGCAGTGATGATTCAATCTGCCAAGGAGATCTTTCGTTTCTTGAGCCAATCAATACAGTTCACCAGTGTTATAAATCCATTCCCCAAAATACCGATTATGATTTCTATATTTACTAAAATGAAGATGAAGCTATGCAAGGAGCTTACCATGTCTGCAAAGAGAGAGCTTCAATTTCTAATTGCAATGTTGACAATTTCTTGATTTACGTTTAAATACTATATATACTTATTTCTTGGATGTGCAGTTAATATCTTCCTTTAAAAAAATTGTAGGCTCAAGCTCAAGGCAGAAAGAACTAAGGTGTGCTAACGGGTCGGCACATAGCTCTCGTTATAAAGATCATTTTCTCCTGGACAGCTAGCTGCACTCTGATCCAGGTACTGTATGTTCTCAACATAAAGTGAAATTTCTGGGCCGGCCCCGTGGCTTAGCGGCTAAGTGCGCGCGCTCCGCTGCTGGCGGCCCGGGTTCGGATCCCGGGCGCGCACTGACGCGCGGCTTGTCCGGCCATGCTGAGGCCGTGTCCCACATACAGCAACTAGAAGGATGTGCAGCTAAGACATACAACTATCTACTGGGGCTTTGGGGGGAAAATAAATAAATAAATAAAATCTTATTAAAAAAAAAGTGAAATTTCTCATACTTGATGGTGAAAGAGGAACTCAACTCTCATTTGCTAACATGCAAATAAAGACATATTCTCTTTCATTATTTTGCAATGCTTGCTTTATTTAACCTCTACACAGTTTGTTCACCAATTTGAGTTATTATCAATCACATTCAAAAATGCAATGCATAGAGCTCTAACATACAGCAAAGATTTACATTAGTAGATGCAGTTTGGTGAACACTAAAATTGTCACCACTGAGGCATGATGAAGGAAGACTGAAGGGACATTTCCATAGGTTATCCAAATCTTTTGCTATCTAAGGCATTCAAGTTTCCTGAGTGAACCCAGAGAAATCACAACTCCTGAATGGGATGCTGATAATTTATATTTATTTATCGGTGAATTGTTTGCAAGTGCCTAAACACACACCTTGCACAACAACTTTGTGGGATCATTGTGTAGGAATGACTGTCTTCTTTTTGGCAATAGGAAAATGAAGCTCAGGAAAATTATGTGGATTCAAACCTCTTTATTTTCTCTCTAATAATTCCGACTTTCACTCCTTCATTAATATTCATTAAGCTTCTCTTGATGTTAAAAATCATATTAGATATCAAGATATTTTTAAAACATGGTTACACTTGATATTATTTAATACATAACTTAAAATATTCAACAAACTTTGGGAACCTTTTATAGGGCTTGTAAGAAGTGATAGAACTCTATCTTTACCCCACAAAGCAATCTTTCAGTTAAATCGGGCAATATTGAGAAGAGGAGAGGCTCATCTGCAGAGCTTGCATTGTCCTCATTTTGTGCCTCACTACCACTCAGTAATACCCACTACCCTATCAAAGCTGTTTGGATTTTATTCAGCTTGTTCTAACATTTCTCTAACAACATCTGCTCTCTGACTGTTAAATCAAACTCCAATGCAAGTAAGTAATTATAGGTTACCTAAACAAGATGGTGGAATCAAATCATTACTTCTTGAAGAAGTATTCTTACTTCTTCAAAAACTTTCAAAAAAGCAATATTGAAGCAATAAACTAAATCCACAAAATCCCATAAAATTGTCAGTATTACCCTCCAACTTAAAGGAATCCAAATTGAAGCGTTAAAAAGACAAAAATGAGGAATTTTAAGGAAAAATTCTCAAGAGTAGAAGCCCCCACACACCACCGAGGCAGAGGTAGGATGGGCATTCCAGGCTTGGGATCTTCCAGGACATTGAGCTGAATTTGAGGAACACACCAACTCCCACAAAAGTGTAAACAGAGATGAGATAATAGATTGAGCTTTGAAACTGAGCTTTCATGGGAGTTTAGAAGAAGAAAGAGAACCTAGGTCCCAAGGAAGGTAGGACTCACCCCAAAGGAACTCTTTGTGGCTACTCTCCCATCCCCTTACCAGACACACACACATGCACGCATGCACACATGTGCATACACACTTACACATGTACAGCATTCTGCATTCAAAAAGTAGCCCTTGGAAAGACAACTCAGTGTCACATACGGTACATAAGCCAAAGAGGAGAATTTCTACACATTGTATTGCAATAAACAGAAAGTATGGGATACCAATAAACAAAAAAGTGAAAACATCGGATTCTTCTAAAGTCGCAAAGAGAAGATTTATCAGAATGCATATGTGTGTGTAGTTTTCGTCCTGAATATTTTTTTTATTTTTGGGGGGAAGATTGGCCCTGAGCTAACATCTGTTGCCAATCTTCCTCTTTTTGTTTGAGGAAGATTGTCCCTGAGCTAACATCTATGCCGATCTTCCTCTATTTTGTACATGGGATGCCGCGGCAGCATGGCTTGATGAGCAGTGTGTAGGTTAGCACCTGGGATCTGAACCCGTGAACTCCAGGCCACTGAAGCAGAGTGCACAAACTTAAGCACTGTGCCACTGGGCTGGCCCCCACTCCTAAACTGTTTTTAGTACTAATTGAGATACAATAAGCTGCACATATTTAAAGTGTACAATTGGATAAGTATCACATATTTATATATCTGTGAAACCATCACCTTAATCAAAATAACAAACATACACACTACCCCCAAAAGCTTCCTTATGTCTTGTAATTTCTTCTTTCTACCCCTCCACATCCCCCCCAAGACCATTCCCAGGCAACCACTTTCTCTCGTTATGGATTAGTTTCCATATTCTAGAATGTCATATAAATGGAATCATACATCATATACTCTTTTTTGTCTGGCTTCTTTACTCAGTATAATTATAGTATGATTCATATATGTTGTTGTGTATATCAGTAGTTCATGCTTTTTATGTTACTGAGTAGTACTCCATTGTATGGAAAACACCAAAATTAATTTATCCATTCATTTGTTGATGGATATGTGGATTGGAGAGAATATAAAATGGCACGACTACTTTGAAGCAAAGATACACAGTTTCTTAAAAAGTTAAATATACACCTATTGTATGATTTAGACATTCCGTTTCTTGGATTTACCCCAGAGAAATGAAATCATATGCTCATGCAAAGACTTGATATGCATGCTCATAGTAGTTTTATTGTTCATATCCCCTGAATTTTAACTGAAATAAGAAATCAGTTAGTAAAGAATTTTGTCTCTAAGGAGGTATTTTATGACAAAATAATTACTAGTTAGTGGATAAAAATTAACTTCATTGAGTTTTAATGAATTTTCCTTTAAAAAAAAGAAATTCAAATAAAAAAAACTAGAAGTTATCCAAAGAATTTTGGCTTAAGAACTTCCACTTTTCAGAAAAATTGAATAATTTGGACCAGATTTACACTCCCATCTAAAAATTTAAAAAATCAGGCAAAATATACGAAATAACAGATTTCAAGATGCTAAACATTAGGCAATGAAGGACACTGATCCTTGAGAGACAGAAAACAAATAAGGTGAGCCTTATGATTGACCAAGATGATAGCCTTGAGAAAGTTTCAGGGCATAGTGTAGGGGTAGGAACTTAGCTAGAGCCCAGTGAACTTCTCAAGTTGAAGAAATATTGCTGAGAATCCAGGAGACCAAGACTGCAAGAATTTTCAGCATAGAGTACCAGAAAGGAGAAATAACTCCAGAGATCTGTGGAGGGTCCCCATCAAGTATTTGGCAGACAACCAATAGACACAGGCCTCTGAGGAAACTGTCCAAGGCTGGGAAAGAACCATCCAAGGGATTATACGAAACAGTGCCTTGCACACACAAAAGGAAGGGAAGAGTGCCTATTGCCACCAGTAAGACTAGATGCTATAGACTGAATGTTTGTGTTCCCCTTAAATTCATATGTTAAATCTTAACTCTCAATGTAATTGAATTCAGAGGAGGGGTCTTTGGGAGGTGATTAGCTCATGATTGTGGAGCCCTTATGAATGGGATTAGTGTCTTTATAAAAGAGACTCTGGAGAGATCCCTTGCCCCTCCTGCCATGTGAGGACACACCAAGGCCACCATCTATGAACCAGTAGGTGGGACATCACTAGACACTGAATCTGCCTGCTCCTTGAGTTTGGACTTCTCAGCCTCTAGAACTGTGAAAAATGGATTTCTCTTGTTGATAAGTCACCCAGCCTATTTTTGTTGTTGCTGTTATAGCAGTCCCAATGGAATAAGACACTGGTATACCTCATATTTCATAGGGCACTGGGTAAAATACACATAAAAGTCTTGTCTCATCAGTGGGAAATAATTAGCTCTTTATTAACACTATTCTGGTCTGCCTAACAAATTTTAAAAGCAAGACCCAAAAGGATCAAACTGATTTCAGGTAATTTAACTGCATCCCAGAACAAAGCTCATAAATATCTATAGGAATACAAAAATATCCAGCATTCAACAAGGTAAAATTCACAATGTCTGACATCCAATCAAAGATTATCAGGTCCGCAAAGAAGCAATAAAATATAGCCCAAAATGAGGAGAAAAATCAACAAAGCCAAACTAGAACTGGCACAGATATTAGAGTTAGCAGACAAAGACATTAAAACAGTTATTGTAACTCTATTCCAGGTGTCCAGAAAGTTAAGATACAAGGAGGGTATAAATAAGACCCAAATTGAACTTCTGGGATTAAAACTACAGTGTCTGAGATAAAAAAAAAAAAGATACTGGATGGGACTAACAGCAGAATAGACACTGCAGAAGAAAATATTAGTAAACTTGAAGACATAGCAGCAGAAACTATCCAAAATGAAACACAGAAGGCAAAAGAATTTTGAAAAAATAAAACAGCATCATTGATCTTTGGAGAAATTCAAGGGGCCTAATGGATGTGTAATTAGAGTGATGTAAAAGGCAGGGCTTGGTAGAAGAAATAATGGCCAAAATTTTCCCAACTATGATGAAAACCATAAACCCATAGACCCAAGAAGCTCAATATATTCCAAGAACAAGAAAAAAAACAAAAACTACACCATGGCACATCATAATCAAATTTCTCAAAAGTAGATTTTAAAGAGAAAATATTAATAATAGCAAGAGAAAAAGAAGTTATGTTCAGAGGAAAAAAATAAGGATGGTAGAAGATGTCTTCTCAGA